TGGTGTCTCCTTTTGTCTCCTCAGCAGTTATAGATGTAAACAATATCTCAGACTTCGTTCACCTTGGAGCTGGCGGTATTTCCTGCTGCTGCTGCTGCTGCTGCTGCTGCTGCTGCTGTTTCTGTTTCTGCTGCTGCTGCTCTATCTGCTGCTTCTTCTTCTGCTGTAGCAGCAACAGCAGCAGCAGCTGCTGCTGCTGCTGCTGCTGTTGGTTGTAGTACTGCTCCCTTTACCGTTCCTTTTCCTTCTCAACACTGTCTCCCCCCCCCCCTGCTGCTGCTGCTGCTGCTGCTGTTGCTGCTGCTGCTGCTGCTGCTGCCGCTGCAGCAAGTGTCTGCTGCTTTGATTCCCTAGGCCTCGGTAGCCGGGTGTCTCCGAACTGCACTGTGGGTGAGGGGGCCCCCCCGGTGGGCCCCCAGGAGGTTGTCTATGGTACTGCAGAGAGAGCAGTAGATAGAGATGCTGTCTTGGTCTGTCTCCTTTTTGTTTTTACTGTCTCCTTTTAGGTTTGAGTGTCTCCTTTTACTTGTTGGTGTCTGTCTCCTTTTTGTTTTTACTGTCTCCTTTTACTTTCTTCTGTTTCCTTTTGGTTTGTTCTGTCTCCTTTTAGTTTTTACTGTCTCCTTTTAGGTTTGAGTGTCTCCTTTTAGTTTCTTCTGTCTCCTCTCACTTTCTTCTGTCTCCTTTTAGTTCTTAGTGTCTCCTTTTACTTGTTGGTGTCTGTCTCCTTTTAGTTTTTAGTGTCTCTTTTTGTTGTTTAGTGTCTCCTTTTGTTTCTTTAGTGTCTCCTTTTGTTTTTTTAGTGTCTCCTTTTACTTTTTAGTGTCTCCTCTTGTTATTGTCTCCTCTTATTTTCTAGTGTCTCCTTTTGTTGTTTAGTGTCTCCTTTTGTTGTTTAGTGTCTCCTTTTGTTGTTTACTGTTTCCTTTTACTCTTTAGTGTCTCCTTTTATATACTGTCTCCTCTTACTAAGTGTCTCCTTTTATAGTAAAGTGTCTCCTTTTATAATTAAGTGTCTCCTTTTATAATAAAGTGTCTCCTTTTATTTTGTCTCTTATTTTGTGAGGTGTCTCCTTCGACTACTAACTGTCTCCGTTTATAAAGTGTCTCCTTTTATTGTCTCCTTTTATAAAGTGTCTCCTTTTCTTAAGTGTCTCCTTTTATTGTTTCCTTTTATAAAGTGTCTCCTTTTATTGTCTCCTTTTATTGATTGTCTCCTTTTATTGTCTCCTTTATGAAGTGTCTCCTTTATGAAGTGTCTCCTTTTATAAACTGTCTCCTTTTATTGAGTGTCTCCTTTTTTCTTTTTCTTTGTAACATATCCCCTGGGGCTTCACTGCAGCAAATCCCTTTCCCAGCAACACAACACACTGTTGCTGCTGCTGCTGCTGCTGCTGCTGCTGCTGCTGTTGCTGCTGCTGCTGCTGCTGCTGTTTGGGTGCAGAGACAGGGCCAAGTCCTCGCCACAGAACTCCCCCACCTGCAGCAGCGTCTCGCTGCTGTCTTCGACGATGAAGACGACGAAGCCTAGCAGCCTGAGGGGCCCCCCCATCAGCCTGAGGGGCCCCCCTATCAACCTGGGGGGCCCCCCAACAACCTGGGGGGCCCCCCAACAACCTGAGGGGCCCCCCGGAGAACAGAGAACCCGGGGGAACCCTGAAGACCCCGCGGGGCCTGCAAAGAACCCGAGGGGCCCCCATGAGAACCCAAGGGGCCCCCCTAAGAACCTGAGGGGCCCCCCTGAGAACCATGGGGGCCCCCCTGAGAACCAGGGGGGCCCCCCTGAGGACCAGGGGGGCCCCCTAAGAACCAGAAGGCCCTTAAGGGCCAATGCTTCGAGGCAGCGCACAGGGGCCCCCTGAACTGAACCCTCTCAAGGTGTATTCAGAGCGGGGGGGGGCCCCCCGTATTAACCCTTTAGGGGCCCCCCATACAACCCCCTATAGGGGCCCCCCATCAGCTGTGTAGGGGGCCCCCCTTTGAATTCTATAGGGCCCCTTCTATAGGGGCCCCTCGTCACGTGTACATGGGGGCCCCCCTGTACCCCTTTGGGGCCCCCCATTAACTCCAAGGGGCCCTTCATTAATTCTTCAGGGGCCCCGCACTCGTTCTATAGGGGCCCCATATATATATATATATATATATATATATATATATATATATATATATATATATATA